AAGACTCCTCAAAAGAAACAAGCAAAAAAAGCACAAGACTTAAAAATACAGGACTCAAACAAGAATTTGTATTTTATCAGCATTACTATGCAAACAGAAAGAAGTATCTGAAATTTACCCTGCCGAAATCAAGAAATTAAAATTGCAAAAGTTGCTTTTGTGATCACCTGAAGAATTAGCAAGTGCATCTAAATTTCAGCCAAAGAAGATTCTCAGCCAAATTTCCCAATGCTTTGTTCAGATCTCTGCTTTGTCCAAGGCTTAGCATTGGGGTCCCAAACTCTGCAGGGGAATTGTGTTATGGAGCTGCCGATACCTTGACATCATTCTGAGTATCTAATCAGAACACTTTCCTCTTCAGCTAGAATAAGGGAGTGGGTGTGAAGAATTAGTCACTGGAGGCTTGACATCACAAGGGCAATGAATTAGAGGTGAGTGAAGCTGAAGAAACAGAAACACTTAAGAACGGACAGCTTTGCTTTTTATAAAAGGAATCGTTACATAACATGAACAGCTTTAAGATCGTCCTGCTGCTTGAGCTTGGAATTAAGCACTTGTTTTAAAAGGAAGGGGGACTCACACTCTCCCATAGCAGTGTTTGTATTTCCTATTGCTTTTCTGTGAGCAGTGTTTTAAAAAGAAACATTACTACGCACAGAAACCCCGAGGCGATGGAGCCAGTGTAACTGTGCCAGCTTGGAACTCCAGGAGAAGACTCTGGTTTTCATTACGGGAGTGAGAGATCATTATTTGAAAGTCTCTCTTTCTCTGCCTCTTTCTTTAAATCCACAGCCTCTTGATCTCCAGTTTTCCAGCACATCCAGGGTCATTATTCTTTGGGTGTTTTAAAATTATAAACACAGAAGAGAGCCAACTAGAGTCCCACAGTCCCGACTAGCTAATGGAAAGATCTCGCTGCCTGCATGCCATTCACACAGATCAACCATGTCGTAAATCACATCCTTGCCTGTGTGTCTGCAAAGAGAAGCAGAGACATGGTCTGAATTCTACCGGTTCGAGCTCCGTGGTTCTACCAAGGTAAAACTTTGATGGGCAGAATAATCTCTTCAAGCACTTTACTAAGTGGCAGTGGAGTATAAGAAACCAACATTTCTCAATTATTGGAGAGTGTGATTGCAAAAAGAAAAATTATTCAGTTGAAATCTGGTGCACTGATATAGTTATTCCTGAAAAGTAAAAATGTAAAAGTGCACAAAGACAATTATATCTACTTTTCTCTCCCTCTCCAAAAAATAAATAATAAATAAAATTTAAAAAGGTTTTCAGATAAAAGGAAAAAGGCTATTTATCAGTTGTGACAGTTTCATACCTTTATCTGCTTTCTCATACACAAAAGTGGCCATGATAAGTTTGTTTAAATTCCAAATGTAAATACTCAGGAAGAGCACAGTTATGATGAGAAACCTGGGTTGTTTTTAAATTTCACTGACAGAGGGTGGCTGTGATCATTAGTGGTTAGAAGGAGACCGGAGCAAAGGAAGTACCAATTATTGGTTAATCTTTGTAATTAGAAATCTTCTTTCCTATATCTTGGCCTGCCTGTCTGAAAATGGACTTCATAAGCCTGCTCGAATGCCCAAGACACTCAGGGCTCTGAAAGCTACAATGACTGTTGATTCTGTCTGCAGAGAAATGAGATTTCAAAGCCTTCTCATAGCCCTGGCACATCTAATGGCTCTCTGTTTAGTTCATGATTACTGTGGGCAGATAACTTCGCATTTTCAACCCCGATAGAACTGGAGCTTTCAAAGAACTCATCCTCAGTGAATTTACATGTGAAATGCATTTCTTTAAAATAGCAATTTTAAAGGCTATTTAATCAATCCTACTTGGGCCACCCACTATTTTGAAAATTACAGACATAGCTAGTTTTCAGCAAAGGGACATGGTAAATAGAGAAACCAATTACTCTGACCATTCCTATCCCAGGCGTGTAGCAATTACAGTGACACCAGAGAGTCCTCATGGTAGATGAAAAATCCAGGATTCCCGAGGGAGGGACTCATCCTTTCGCTGGGGAAATGATGACTGTGGGTTGGTGGGCACACGGCTGTGTTTAGACCATGTCGCATGTGCTGTTGGGGAAGAAAGGCGAGTTGCTCTGAGGTTCCTAGACAGTTTGTCAATGAAACTGTATTTTAGGACTGGTTTCCCACAGTGTTCCCCTCCTTTAAAATGTATGTGTATGTATGTGTGCATGTGTGTGTGTGTCTACAAAAAGACCAGGCATTTTTCCATAGGACTAATCAAAGGCAATAACCATGTTAAGTTATAGCTGGTGTAGCTAAAGGGTATTTCTCTCCCCTAGATCCTCCCTTCTCTCTCTGCTTCCTGGCTGCTTATGATTGGGAACCTTTTCTTCTGCCACATCCTCTGCCTTGGGACCACCAGACAACGGACTGGCTCTGTGAGCCAAAATCAGCCTTTCTTAAATAAGGGCAAGTGCCGGGTATTTTGTCCTTGTGACAGAAAATCAAATGCTGTCTTCCGTACTGGGCGCTATGATGCTGTTCTATTCTGGATATTCAAGAGTATCATGATTTTTGACTGCTCGATGCCCACCTCCTGAGTATAAGAGCCTAGTTCAAGAGTCTTTGCCTTGAAGAGGTGACCCTGCACCTTGTCCTTTCTTCTCTCTTTATATCAGTATTTTGGTGAATTCCATGATGGCAGGCCTCTCAGTGATAGAACAGTATATGGAACATTAATGGGCTCCTAATAAACACTTGGATTACTGAATATATTGGCATGTTTTTTTATAAGTTATTATTATTTGACCCGAGTTCCTTTAGGTTAAAGACACTGTACTTATTCATCCTTTAGGTTAAAGATGCTGTACAGTATCTAGCAGGTGGTCACAGACACTGGTTTAAGGAAGAGTGTGTGTACAGCCAATTGCCATTTCCTGGGAATCGTCTGTTCATGAGGAAAGAAGCCTGTAGTCTCTAGTCTCCATCACATGGTCATCATCACATGACCCAGGGTAGAAGTTGGACATGATGCTCTCATCAGAGTAGAATTCAGTAGCTGAACAGCTGCAAGGACAAATATTACAAAACACAGATGATTAGTTAGAAATATTTAGATCAAGGATTCTTTCAAATGCCCCTTCAAGGTCCTCCGGCACCTGGATGATGTGTGAGCAACAACCAGCCCTTGCAGGCAGGTGTCCTGCGATCACCATAGGACTGGCTCTTTCTTGGGCTGGTTTTGCAGGAGATGCCATATCTGTTTTATTGACAGGTTGCAGGAGTTGTGCCCTGTACAGATCCCAAATGGAGATGCTCTTTCCCCTTGAATCACATGCAAGATGATCTGCAGACCTGAGAGGGTAGAAAGGGTCCACATTCCTAGCAGATAATGATGTACTAAGAGAGAAAATGAACAATAATTGGCTCCCAGGTACATTTTTGGATGCAGAGTTCCCAGTCTGAGCGCCTGTGAGAGTATTTTTAGCTCTTGTGAATGGCTTTGCTGCCCTGGTTGTCACTTGACCAGGTTTTTCTTTAGCAGCTAGCACTATGGTTTGCAGTCTTAGTGACAGCATCAGCATCTGCTGTACACAAATGATGACACATACTCTGTCCCTTCCTCGATCTCTCCCTGCTGCAGAAGGATACTGTCTAGCATTCAGGCTAAAGAAGAAGGAGCCAATGGACTTACAGCATCCAAGAGGAAAACTCATTTTGTTCCACCAATTTTCTCAGTGAACATTTTCACCTCAATGTTGATCTAGTTTTATGTGTTGAGCCCTGTATTCTATTTAGCATTCCTTCCCATTAATTTCTCTCTGAATTGAACAAGACCACCTATTAATGTACCATGTTTGGTAACCTCTCTAGGACCATTTTATACTATTACTTTTCTCATTTTCATTTTGCGTGCTCTTAGATATTCAAGTTCCTGAAGATCTTTCCTAATTGTGAACAAATACCAGTTTAAGAAGTTATGAACCTCAAATGTGAATAAAGTTTACTTCTTCTTGTCTTAATCTGAGATCTTGACAAGAATTGCACTGAACAACCCGAAATTAATGTCTCAAGGCAATTAGCAGTGCTACTGGTTATGTGAGGGTTGTCAAAGAAATACAGGGTGAAAGAAGGTTGAAGACAAATACATTTATCACTTTTACCTATTAGAGTCTTTGTCGTTGCTAAGGATGAATTTCTCCAGCTATCTATCATTGCTTGCTTTCTGTCACATTGATTTCTCAGATTTAAAGGTGTAGGTAGCAAGGTAAGGGTTCCGTATTTTTCTTTCCCCAGATGACTGACGTTTTTCCCTTTCAGTTCAGCTTGCCATATTCTCCTTCCAGGTTTTAATGCTCTAACATATGGATTTTTTAAGTTAATAACAACTCCTGGTCGGCAAAATTTTCAAAGATTCTCCAATAATTGTAACCAGTGCCAGAGTAAAGTATACGCAAATCCGTAATTATTCACTCATAATTCTGAAATCCAGAAAGCCCAGTAAAATATACTTCCTTATTATTTATCGCAGAAATTAATTTGGTGATACATTTGATGGGACTTAATGCAAGGTTATTTGTATTATGGAATGCTCTTCTATAGAATGTCTATCCATATCTGTTGCTGCAGAAATATTAACATGTCTGATTAAAGGTGCTGACCCACACTCTGCTGTAAGTGTTCCAAAATACACCACCTATAAATTTCTAAAATGTGCAAAATTACGAATTCTAAAACCTGGTTAAGGAACTGAAGACCAGAGCTATCCCATAATGCTCGCGTTTCTTCACTTACCTGTCAACCTTAAGTCAAAGGCATTAGCTGTAGGGAGATGACAAAATTGTGGGTCCAATCCTAACAGGACACTGAAGCAGCAACCTGGCTCCCTCTGCTCTGTAAATAAAGTCAGTTTTCTCTATACTTTTATGTGTCCCCATTGGAACATCACTCACCTCTGGTGATGGTATTAAAAATAGTGAAAATAAAAATTATCAAAGATAAAGCAGAGCCTGCTTACCAACATATTGCTTTATTTCTTGGTGGTAGTAAATTAAGGCTTTCTAGAGTCACACAGCACAAAGTGATTTGAACATCAGAATTAAACAACAACAACAATTAGCATTCAATTTAGCAGAGCCAGAAAGGAAGCAATGTTTTAAAACAGATAAGTTTCCTACAGAGACCTTTTGCCTGATCTCTGAATATCTGCTGAGCTGTTTCCCAGTAACCTCTGCCACGGATTCACACCCTAAGGAAGAGCAGAACAAGAAGGAGACTGGGAAAAAGGAGAACCCGGGAGACAGTATGTGTGGGGCAGGCAGTGTGAAAAGTCGGCTTCATCTAGTGCTCGGAAGACAGTTTGGGTCATGTGGCCAAGGTGCTGGTGACAGCGACAGTCACAGTGGCTCAGGGAGCAAAAGTCCCTGCTCATTCTGGAGGAATAAACCAGTGCTTTTGGAATACTCTGGTATCAAAGGTGAGTTGGTGGCTCTGAAATTCAGAACCTTTGAATAGGATCACAGGACACAGAGCAAAGTCATGCTACCTTTGACTTTTATGGTTCTGAACTCTGTGGCTATCGCGAAGTACAGTCCCCAAGCACATGATTCGCCTTCCCCACAGTACACGGTCCTGATTGCACTCTTGAGCTGTTGATGTTAGCTGCACAGGAAGCCACGTTTCCTGTGACATATGAAAGAAACCTCCTGGACAGAGGGTATCGCATCACTCTAACGCTTCCTTTCCAACACAAGACAGTACACACGCACGGGAGCCTACAGTGGGAGTGCAGTTGTCAAGAAGTGTGTAAGCTTGATCTGAAACATATTTAGCACGCTTGCCTTGGGAATGCACACACTCCGAAACTGGACCGGGAACCCTCAGAGCAAGAAATGAGTGAGCAGTCTCAGCAACAAGGAAGCGGCAGTGTGGCTGGGAGGTGAATGTGAGGAAGGTCCTCAACTGACTAACAAAGGACAATGGAATTGCCTGAAAATGCACAGTGAAATTTCTTCTGGCTACCTGATTTCCCATGCATGAAGCCACCAAATTGATTTCTATCCCCAAGGGATCATTTTCAACTCCATCCACTTAAAATTCATATTTGGTAGTGATTTAAATATTTTATTCAAGGGCTTGGTTGGTGGACCAACATCTGTCTCATCACTGTGCTCCTTCTTCTATTTGTCAGACACTTCTGAGGGAACAGGATTTAAACACCTAGAAATCTGCATTGCATTCTCTAATGGAAATGGGAAAAAACCCAGCCAGCCAAGGGGGTGACACAGGAGGTGGCAATTTGCACAATTAAACACTTACAAATGTAACCCCAAGAGGCTTCATGTGATGAAGTCTGGTACATAAAGAAATAAATAGATGCAAAGAGTCAAAACACATCCGAATGACAAAGAACCCAGGCAGCTGTCCTTGCCAGCTGCAGGACAGCTGTGCCTGATGTGTGCCACATGTGCACTAAGAGGGATTAGCAAAACCTTTGAGGCTACGTGTTCTCCTGGTCTGGCTTGTTAATTGAAAAATTATGAAGGTCTTTCTTGCTATTTGAAAACACCCCCTAAGAGGCAGCCTGAAGCTTCACCTCGATGAGATGTTCCGGTGCTTTGATAAGCTGTGTGGAGTGTGGAATGCTGAAAGTACCCTGGTCACAAACCAGGACATCCAGCAAGAGCCCTGCACACCAACCATCCAGACCCCATCCAACCTGGTGCTCAGAGTGGAGCAAAGGGACCTGGAGGACACTTTGCCCACCGAGGCTGGCACCGCAGAAGCTCTGCAGAGCAAAGCCCATCCACAGGATCTATTCTGTCACAAGAGATAGATGCCCACGTTCTCTATCAAGGTTCTTTTGTTTATCAGTACCTCTGTGGTCAATTCTCAGATCAGGAGTGTAATCCCCCTTCTGCAGGATGGCCTCAGATGCTGGAAGCCAAAGCCCCACAGAAGTGAAGTGCTTTACCAAGGGAGCACAAGTGGTTAGGGCAGAGCTGGGGAAAGAGCACAGGGCTCTATTTCACCATGCTGCTGCTTGACTTCAGGGGCTGTTAGTAAAGAGCTGGGAGCTCTCTTTATATGCAAGGTGACTCCACAGATCTAACCATCCCTTTTGGTGGCCAGGGATTGTTGTGTAGGGCCTGGGCCAAGCAGGATCTTAAAGAGGAGTCTGGAGAGCATTATCATTCTTATACTTTTTGTTGCATTTACAGTTGGGGCAAAAGGGGTGGGGATGTGGCACTTTAGAGGTGCTGCAGTGTCCAGGAGGGTGTGTGTGTGTGTGTGTGTGTGTGTGTGTGTGTGTGTGTGAAGGAGGAGGGAGTATTACATACATCAAAATCAGCTTGCTGAGAAAAGAAACTGTCTACAAATGACCCAAAACCCAACGCTTTGCCCTCACAGAAATGTTTTCCCTCCCCCTCCGTTGCTTTGACTTCTGTTGCCCATGAACAAGAAGGAAAAAATAAAAGCCAGATTCCTAAGAGCCTTTCTAGAAGAACAGCCGCTGACACTGGGTGTCAGTGGTTTAACAGAACATTCCCTCTGGTTCGTGTTTGTAAAGTGAAAAACTACGCTGTCCCCTCAGAAGAAGGCAGGGTTGGTGTGCTCGATAACGCAGCGCTTGCAGTGCCGTTTCACGAACCTCAGCGCCTCCACGGACACCTCGCAGTCCTGCACGTTTAGCATCTGCAGGTCGAAGCAGTTGGCAGCCACGACCTGCAAGCCTTGGCCCGTGATGCTCTCGCAAGATTTCAGGCTCAGCCGCTTGAGGTTGAAGCAGTTCAGGGCCAGGCACTCCAGGCCCGTGTCGGACACCAAAGGGCACTTGCCGATGTCCAGAGACTTGAGCTTCGCGCAGTTCTTGGCAAGGTACTCCACGCCGTGGTCCGTGATGCCCTCGCAGCCCCTTGCGTTGAGGTAGCGCAGCTTGCTGCAGTACTTGGAGATGTAGCGGATGCCCACGTCGGTGACCCGGCTGCAGTGCGCGATGCTGAGGTACCGCAGGCGCGACTCCAGCTTGGCGATCTCCCGCAGGCCGAAGTCGCTGACGAAGCGGCAGTCGCTGACGCTCAGCTCCTTGATGGACGTGCAGTAGATGACCAGGTAGCGCAGGCCCTCGTCGGTGAGGCGGACACAGCGCCGCAGGTACAGGTGCGTGAGCTGCGTGCAGTGCGCCGCGATCGTGTGCAGGCCCTCGTCCTCCAGCACGAAGCAGTCCGTCATGTCCAGGTAGCGGATGGAAATCTGTTTGCCATGCAAGGGGGACAGTTTAATGGAGGCCTCCCGGGTCAAGCTGATGCAGGTCACTTTGGAGCACCCTACACAAAGAGACAGAACACATGCTCAGAGCAGCCTGGAGAGACACTGGAGGGTCACCGGGATGCCATGGTGCTTGCCTAACTCTCCCCACGCCCTGCCTGGAGGTCACCCCTCTCTGTGTTGACCCCTACGGGGATAAAAAGCAAAGAACCATTCTCTATGCTCATTTGATCACTTGTATTTAAGGGGATTCAGTCTTGGGAATCTGATATACCAGGTCGATTCTGGATCACAATCAACCAAGAACAATTCCCGATCCATCATCAGCTCTCCGACATGAGGCAAATCATTCTTTCCACTTCCTTTGTCCTCAAACAGGGACAATCACATTCACTGGAAGACAGCCTTGAAGACGGAAGGCAATGTTACACACCCAGGTGTGCTGCCTTCTCTCTGGAAGGATCCAGGAGTTCGGCAGAAGCTTTGCAGTGGTCTGGTAGCTTTCTGCTCCGGAGAACTGATCTGGGAGCGACAAAGTTTGAACACGACCTTGGCTTGACAGAAGGAGCTGGGTTCCCACTGGGATCCCTTCTGCTCCTCACTGCAACGGCAGGAGGCGTAACATCTGCATTGCAAGACTGAGCGTGGGAACCAAGAGCGGGCAATCCTACACTCAGACAGGACCACGGATAGCAGTGTGGTAGCAGAGGTATCTACCCTGACAGGTCCTTGCCTACTGTGTGCTTAATTTTTAAAATTTTTATTACTACATGTTTGCAGTGATTGTATTCCTCATAGGAGTGGGTACATATAAACTTAGATTAGATGCCTTTAATCGGATTGCTCTATGTTGTTTACAGAGTATTTTCGTGAATATTTTACTCCCTGGCCCCTAAAAACAATCCGTTTTACAGACAAGGATGCGACTGCTGGGGAAGATACCCCTGGATGACCCTGAACATTCTTTCTTGTCACTTAAAAATATACGTGAGTCAGCTGACTGCACAGCCTTGCAATCCTGGGAGGCCGAGGCAGGAGAACTGCAAGTTGAAGTCCAACCCAGGCAAGTTAGCAACTTAGTGAGACTGTGTCTCAAGATTTAAAAAAAAAAAAAAAATTGGTGATATAGCTCAGTGCAAAGGTCCTGGGTTCAATCCCCAGTATCACCAAAAATACACACACACCCACACACCCACAGTATGTGTAAAAGTTATATGATGCATAATCACATGGAGCATAATTAAATACTTATACATGAAATATTTGCTGTATATTTCAGTTCAGGAAATATTACCTTATAAAATATAGAGTACATGTATAGTATATAAGTAATAAGCATCTACAGACCATATTATTATAAAAATCAACCTAGATGTGTATTTTTCTTTTCCCTGCATAGACCACACCTGTGTATTCTCATGTTTTCTTTGTGCTCCTCAGACCCCTCTGGCAGCTCTGCAGCCACCAGAAGCCTCGCCCCAGCCTCTCTGAACCTTGGCCCTGCAAGGCAGTATCTGGGCTCCGAGCAGCTATCAGTGCCCTTGGGAACTTTTCTCCACCTGGCTGCCCAGGAAGCTTTTATAAAAAACACAGGTTCTGGTTGTGTGCTACCAAGTTAAGGGCTTCTGGAGGAAGCACACATGGATGCTTGTGCAGTGCTGGACAAGTGAGATGTGACCTGAGCCGAGGTGGGTCGCGCCGCTGAAGTGGGCTGCATGGTTTGCTGAGAGCTCATCGGTCACCAACAACCTGAGCACCGAGATCTCCCTTTGTTTTCAATTCTTTTTGACCGATTGAGTCCTCTTTACACAGAATCCACTTGTCCATCTGTGATAAATCAGAACCTGTGATAAATCTATTCCTACTCTTTTGATTCTAGGTTCCTTTTTTTAAGTGTCTGGCAAAGTCTTTTACACTCCAATGTGCAATATTTAGTTTATAGAAGTATATACTGCTTTTTAAAAATGAGTCCAAATTTAGTGAAATACGAGTTTAGTACAGTTTGGGTAAACTGTTTTGATACGCTGATACTATCTCATAAAAATCATTTTCCTAGTAGGATTAGCCCTAATTCTCAGTTTGCTGATTTTGACGTGAACAAAAAAATGAATTGATCTATGGCTCAGTAGATAATATTTATGGGTAGTTCATGTATTTTTATATTACAGACAGGGAGCGATGCTTAGAAATCATCCAATTTAATTTTCAGTTTTTAAAATGAAGGCTTAGTAAGAGCATGTGACCTGTACACCCAGACTAGGGAAAGTCTCATTCTCTCTTTGGTGAAGCTGAGGACAGAAACCAGGGCCTTTAGGACTCTAAGCTACCACTGAGTGTGTACCTGGAGTGTGTACCATTGGAGGTGTCTCCAGCAAGGGTAATTTTTGGCAGATTTTATGGTTTGTGTGTAGATATCCCCCCAAAGCCTCATGCAGTCATAGGTGGGGCTTTTTCAGAAGAGGCTGAATCTAGAGTGTGTGACTGATTCATGGCACAATGCTGGGATTAAGGGTGTTAGGGTTAAGGGTGGGGGATTGCCAGATCAGTCTAGTGATTGGACAGGCACCACCCTAATCTGGATAGCCTGGATAAGGGACAGAATGAAGCTTGTCCCTTTCCTCTCTTGGTGCTTTTGCTGCCTTCTACCACCATGAATGGTTTCCTCTCAACCATGTGCCACCCTGCCTTGGTGCCAATTGATTATAGACTGAAACTTCTACAAACCGTGAACTAAACAAGCCCTCCCCTCATTTATTTTGGGTGCTAAATATTTTCTCAGCAAGGAGAGAGAAGCAGCTAAAACACAGGTAATTTAAGGCTTCAGTTATCACAGAGAGGTAAGACATGACTTGGATGTGCCTAGAATTAATGGCTTACAGGAGAGATGTGTGGCACATGTGTTCACATGAGATAAGGATTCAAATACTGGGCAATCAGAAGTCTCAAAAGTGGTGCTATCTAAGGGGATCTCAGAAGGAAATAGTTTGGATACAAACATGGTACTCTGGTAGTGAAATAAAGTAGGCAGATTTGAGAGACAAGAAAGCATAGAGAGACCACAGAGGAGTAAGACACGTTCATTAATAGAACTTGGGGTTCATTAATAGAACTTGGAAGGATTAAATGGAAACTAAGATGGGGATGATCTGCTTGCCTTGCATCACAGAAGCTTGTAAATTATTCTACAAGGAACGAGCCTCATAGGTTGAAAGTATCTGGGGATCCTTCAGTTGATTCCAGATTTCACTCAACTTTCGCGAGTTTGCTGCTCATTCCTATTTCCTCTCCGTACTGGGGTGACATCTCTACTTTTGCTGGGATGTGCAAAGGCCCAGTCAGCAAAGACCAACTGCAGACTTCCAGGCACGTTCATAAGCAGGAACGTACAGCATTGATGACCACAGCTGTGATTTACAAGTGCTCGCTGCACGAGTCCCAGCAGAACATACATGTGAGGCCTTAGCATAATAAATTCACCGAATCCACCCCACCCCACTTGTGTTGATGAGGAAATTTTAGCTGCTTCAGAAATGCTGCTTACAGTATGAACCAATGGCACTTTCAGTCTTTTAGAGGTAAAGGTGAGCATGGAGGGCTTACACTCTTCTGCTTAATTATAATGTCGTAAAGACAAAGATAAAAATGCCTCATTTCTGCCTCTATAAAGCTCATAAGGGGTGGAGAGGGAGTGAGCTGGAAATGTCCACGTACCCAGTCTCAGAGCTCAGCCCACAAGCTCCACCTGCCTGGACTCAGAAGGCCAGCACCCGCTAGCACAGTAACTCCCACCCCGGGGTGAGAAGGGCAGGCTGTATGCAGAAGAGGCTCAACTGGAGGGTGTTTAGGAGGGATGGGGCAGAGGAGAGACTGGTGTGCAAACCCAGGAGGGAGCCAGACATCCTTGTATGCACAGGCGTGATGTATGTGGGGATGTGCACATGGTTCCACACAAGGAAAGATCAAGGGTACACATGTAGAGAAAAACACATGTAGGTGGCGCCTGGGAAGGGCAGCTCACTTAGGGTCTTGTGTGCTCTATTGAGGAGCTTGACTTTTTCCTGTAAATCATGGGAAATGATCAGAGATTTGAAACTAAAGAAAACTAAAGTTTAGACTTATACTTTGAAAAATGCCCTCCCTTGATTGTGTGGAGGGTTGTGATGGGTGAAGGGTATTTTGAGCAGGCAAGTAGAGGAGAGACTCTGGCAAAGTGGAATGGTCTGGATATACAAGAAAGACAGAGAGGGAGAGAGAAAGAGAGAGGGAGAGAATGAGAGAGAGAGAGAGAGAGAGAGAGAGAGACTTCTATGCAAGAGGATCCATTTGAAGCTATTTTATTTTCAATAACTGCAACGTTTCATATTTGGGAAATAGGTTGTTTTTAATGTATTCCAATGATGTTTAAAGCTGTCAATAAAAGATTATGTGTGATAATGATAAAATATTACAGCTAGCAGTAGCAATATTCAGTGACTTGAAAAGGTAACTTTTTTGTGGCTTCAAGCAACACGATTTTATTATGTTACAAACGTAGATGTCAGGAGGCTGCAATGAGCCTCACAGATGAAAATTGAAGAGGTCGGCAAAGGTGAGCATCTTTCCTTGCCTTTTCTCGCTTCTAGAGGCTGCCTGGGCTCCTTGGCTCGTGACCCCATCCTTCATCCTCCAAACACAGCATCCCGACCTGTGCATTCTCATCCCCATACCTCCCCTCTCTCCTCCTGACTGTCCTGCTTCCTTATTTAAAGATCTCATGGTTCAATGAGGTCTACTAGATAAACCAAACAACCTACCCATCACAAGATCCTTAACTTAATCCCACTTACACAGTTCCTTTTACCACGCAAGGCAAAATACACACAGGGTTGTCCAGGGACTAGGACATGGACATCTTCAGAGGACCTTTGGTCTGTCTGTCTCACAGTTAAGAAATACAGTTATGAAAGGTAACATGTCAAGCTTTCTGTTTGTGCCATAATAATAACTTTTGGGGGCCTTTTTCTCTACCTTGTTGAATTATCTTACTTTTTCCTTTTACTTTTTTCCCCTTCTTTTATTCAATCAAGGAAGTATTTACTTTTTCCTTTTACTTTTTTCCCCTTCTTTTATTCAATCAAGGAAGTATTTGCTATGTGTCAGGCACCGTGCTAAGTGCTGAGGACAAGGCATATCAAGTCTTCCGTACTACTGAGAAATAAGCAGAATTCGGGGTATTGATACAGAACCAGAGATCAAGATGGCAACTCTTGGCTTCTACGAAAAGATAACATTCAGTAGGGGCATTTTCAGCCTTGCAATTATGGGGGAGGTAGTCACATGTCTTCTAGAAAACTTCTGATGAGTATTCCAGCATCAAAGTCCAGCATACTGGAGAATATTGTCATTGTGAGAGGCACCCCGTGAAGCCAAGGAAAACAGACTTCCATGGGGAAGTCACCCCGGACACTCACTGGCTTCTCTCTGTATCTTTGTAATCCTTTACAAAATCTTCTAGAACTCGAGTGAACTGGTAGGAGAAACTGATGGTAAATTCAACCTTATGGGCCACTGAGTCTTTCAAGTTTTTCTAAGTCTTTTCCGGCACATATCTGGGATTCTGTGTCTTTACCTTGGTGACTGTGACAGATCCCTCTCATCTATTCTTTGTGTCCACAAATCAATGTGTCTTTTCACACTGAGAGACATGCAGAGAAGCTACACAAATGTACTCAGTCGGGCCAATGTGGAGGATAGGTATCAGAGGGCCAGGCATGGGCCACTGAGGCTAGCGTGCAAGACTTTCCATTCCCAATTACCCAAGGCAGTTTTAGTGTTTCTGAATTTCAAAATGACCCCCAAAGAGACTGCATGATAGCTTGCAGTCTGAATGAATAATGTATGGGAAGCTCCTTTAACAAAGATGAGGATTCCAAAACTAATCATTTTGAAACTGAGAAGATAAACGATTTTTATAAATGTTTATAAAATGCTCAGTTAGAATCTTGAAGAACATGGGCTCACATTTTTTTTTCTTTTTAATTACAGAGAAAACGCATCTAGAGAAAGCTGTGAGTAGTCCTAAGCCATAGAGTTTTGTAACTCGTTCCCACCACATAACAATGCTTTCTCTTTCCAGAATTCCTTGGGGGGAAGAAATGCAAGAAAATCTCGCCATTTCCTGCTTCTTTATGCCAACGGCTGCTCATGACTAAGTGGACGTACAGTTGCGATGGTTTTGTCCTGCAGCCAGCTGCAGGAGAGAAGCGGCAGGCTGCTTTCCAGCCAGGAAAGAATCTGCAAGTAATAATGGACTGTCATCTGAAATATTTTCAGATGTCTGCTTTCAAAAGAGAGAGCAAGTGAAGAGCCAGATTTACCTCAGGTTTTGTTGGAGGGCATCGTTTACCTTAGGTGCTTGTAAACCCCAAATTCTGTTTTTAACTCTTGACTCTTCCCCCAACAGTCCTTAAGGTTACAGCTCGTGCTGCTGGCTTCTGTGGCTCTCCAATGCTTCTCACATACTCCTCCTCTGACTTTGCAGTGCATGCCATAAAGAAAGGGATCATCCGTCAGAGCTGATCCCTGCCTGGTGCCAAAGCTGGACTCTGGCCTTTAATTCTGCCTGCCTGTGAGAGGTTTCAAAGCCAAGCAGTCATGCTGGGATTTCCTCCCATTTTTAAAAGAACTGGAGGTTTGATTCAATGCTCCTTATCTTTGCACTATGGGATTGAGTGTTTTGTTTAAGAAATACTCTAGAATTAACCTGTAGGTGGGATGAGGGGCTGAAATACAAGGAGCTACCTTCCCGGGCAGATGTGACCAGGTGAGTGGAATGGCAAGCCATCCTGAGCGCACAAAGAACTGAGTGATTTGTGGTCTGGTGCACAGCCATGGCGTAGTCACTGCCATGGTGTGGGGCAGCAATCGGGTTCTACATAGGTAATGAGTGTCAGAGGGGAGCTGATGACCTACCTCCCAGGAAGCCATTTGGTTCCTAATTCTCTGTATTAGGTATCTAGTCTCCAGGGTCTGTGGATGCTCTTAGACAAGTGTGTGTAGGATAGAGTGGGACACATTTAAGTCATGTTGATCCGAACCACCAGGTGCCAGGGGCCAGGTGCCAGGTGCCAGGTGTCAGGTTAAGGACTCTAAGAAGCTGATGGTATTTGGTAAAAGGGTACACGCTGGCCTGCAGGGCCCTGATTACCTGCAGCCAGTTTCTCTGTAAGTGCTGGCCTCCATGTCACCCACAACCCACTCTCTGGAGTAGTCACGGAGAAGGGGACCCTGCAGGGGTGGCACTGTCTGGAGCCCTTCTGGACAGGGCATCGGGCAAGCCCACGGCAGGAGGCCAGTTTGCCTTACCTGACACGTCCAGGTGCTCCAGGTTGGGGCAGAGGGACACCACGTCGAAGACGGCCTCGTTGGAGATATTGTAGCAGCCTGAGACTTCCAAGCGCCTCAGTTCCGGGCAGCACTGGGCGATGGTGTAAAGCCCTCTGTCCGTGAGCCGCCGGCAGCCGCTGACGATGACCGTTTCCAGCATGAGGCAGACGTTGGGGGTGTCCTGGCAGAGCCTGCGGGTCAGCACCTTGAGAGCGCGGTCCACATGCACTGTCTCGCCCGTCAGGCGGATCGTCCTCCAGAGGCGCGGGTCCCACGCCAGGTTGTACCAGCGGCGGCACACGCGCGCGCAGCGGCACAGCTGGTTGGTGGGCAGGAAGGAGAAGATGTGCACCATGGAGTGGTCGGGGAGGCGGTCTATGCTGGCCTGCTCCTTCTGGGGTCTGCCAGCGAGCCGGATGAGCGGGTGCGTGAGACGGGTCGGGGGCGGGGAGTGGACCATGGCCACCGTCTCCCCGGTGACGGAGGACGAGGAGGTGGACGAGCCCCTTCCATTCTGGAATCCTGGCAGGGTGGGTGGACATATCAAGGCTGGGCTGGGCGTGCTCAGTGTGCGCATGCTCAGGTCGGAGTCTGCAAAGGACAGAGCAAGGGGTTAAGTGTGAGGGCCTTGGCTGAGGCCTGGGAAAGAAGACACTTGTACTAGGCGACACTCACGCACCACTATTCTTCGGGACTCAGTCCACCCCCGGACGCAGTGACTGCAAGGCACACCCAGCCAGAGCGCTGCTCCAGGATCTGCACGACTACCAGACAAGATACAGTGTACGTTTGGGATTTGCAATGACTCAGCCCTGCTGAAGTCGTGCTAAAACTGCCCGAAATGAACAGGAGGGGCTGTGGCCATAAAACTTCTTTTATAAAGGCGGCCCAGATGGACTGGCCCCTCTGCAGACCAGGGCCCTGGGGCCATCACCTGCTGTCCTTCAGTCCCCATTAAAGGTGGTCATCAGAGCCAGCTTCAGAGTTTCACTGCGTCTCTTCTGGGGAGAAACAGACACTGGGTACATAAACTGACTTGCTTTCCTAGTTATCTTTTGGCTGGGTAGGTGGTTAATTATGTGGCATTCACAAGGAGAGGCAGTGTTTCAGAGGGGAGGGGAGAACACTGCTGCCTGCTCCCCACTCACCCTGGCATTCACACCCCTCCTTTTGAAAGCTGTTTTCAGAGTGGCCTGGGGAGCTGCTCAGCTGTTCCCTGAGGCCAGGATTTCAGGAGGGCCAGGGCTGTCCTCAGATACCTGGCACAGTACTGACTTTCCTTCTGGAGGACACTCTTCCTTTACATTTGAATAATGTGAGTCCTGACGGGTTCCTTGAAACCAGAAAGATCATTTGAGGAGGATACAAGTGGTTTTTAAGTTTTGGGAAGATTGAGAATTGTTTACAATGCCACGTGAAGCAGCAGCTTAGTTTTCTACTTCTCTCTCTCAATATATATGAGAAAGAATTTAGTCTTTCTTTAAATATACATACACATATATACGGTATAGTATATATATTCAGATTTATTTAGCAATAAATTTATTTACTCTCTAGCTCTACATCATGTCATATGAATATATTTACAAACTTTACATTACACATGTGTATACATATGTATGGATATATATACACAAATATATACACACACCAGTATGTGTGTGAGAGAAGAAAAACAGAAAGAGAATTTATCCCCTGAACACAATTTTCTTCACCTATAAAATAGATGAATGGACTTGCTGATTTCTAAGTCATGCTCTCATTATAGCTTTGACTTAAGCAAAAAAACTTATATATATATATATATATATATATATATATATATATATAGTTACTTGTGTATCTTCTCACATTGTGTTTTCCCACAATTTATGCCTTGGAAATTAATATTCATACTCTGTGTTCCTGGAGAACTTCCAGCCGTAGCACTGACGGATTTCTGTCCCCAGTCCACCTGCTTTGTGTATCTCTGGACTTTTCCATCCAGATCCACCTGCTCCATTACTGTAATATTTCACTTTTTTCCTTGTTACCTGAAACTTCACTTTGCTCATGATGCTTCTGTGAATTACTCCCCACCACTCACACATTTGTCACTTTTGTGTCCTGTTGCAAATGCCACCTCCTCTATGAACATTTTCCTGGGCTCTGTGAGACATGACTCGCTCACCTGGGAAATTCCCAGCCTTGGTTATGTAAGTGTTTGTGAATTTATCTTCGCCTAACGTGTTCATTGCTGTGCGCCCCTCCCCCCATCCTCATCTCCTTTGTCATCACCTGACTTTTCGGTTCAGGCTGGGGATGCTGCTTGTGTAGGCCAGTGAATGAGAGAGGAAAGCCTTTCGTGCACTTTGGCTTGACCTCTGAATCTTCTGCTCGGCCATCAGAAGACGACCCTGGCCAGCTCTGCTAACAAGACCAGGGAGATGTGTGGGGCAGGCACACCTGGTCCAACCTGCAGTGTAGAGAGCAGCTTGGCCAGCTTAGGGTAAGCAGAGCCCTGACAAATCAAAGACACGTGAACGAGAATAGCTCTTAAGCCACTGAAGTTGGGGGGTGATACAGGAGATGGCATTACCATGGCAACAGACAATGCCTATGTCTTTTATCACACTAAATGCCCTTCTGAGATGCAGGTTCAATGTGTTTTTTTCCATGTCCTAGTAGCACCCTTGCAGTTTATGGTATATAGTAGATGCACAACCAATGAATTGAAAGAAGTACCTCCATGTTGAAAAAAACAATCCAACTTGGCATGCCTATTTCTATCCCAGGTGGTATAAATGTCATATTTTTAAATCATTCACAAGAAAAATACACATTTCTCCCTTTTTAAGTCAGGGATAATAAATAGTAGATCTCAAAGAAAAATCTTAAGTGTAAAGCAATTAAGGATTTCAAAACTCACTGAAGCTATCGTACCAAGCTGCCACATTATGTAGCTACTCAGAGAATTGCCAGTGTTTTTGGTAGGCAGGGGAATAACTTATTTTGGGCCAGGAGGGAAAGGCCACCTGAGCTCTCCACGCTGACGCTGTGGCAGCTGTGAGCTCTGCCCTCTCTCCCTGCCCAGGTGTCATGCATCTTAAAGGAGAATACACTCAACAAGTTCTGCAGAAACGTGAACAAGTCGGGGGATGAAATACACTTACCTGTGAGTCTGTGTGGCTGCAGGGACACTTCTATAACCTACGCCTCCATCTGGCTCACATTTCTTCCCTCCCGTGTGCTCCCCACATGGAAGGGCAGAGCTGAGCACAGCTGTGCTCCCCGGAATGACTTCAGTTCTTTTCTCTCATTTCTTAAACCGAATAACCATATCTGGGTGTGAAAGGAATCCACACTCAGAAACAGGGCAGCCTCCCACACCCCCGGGGAACGCTGCCTGGGGTGGGGCTGGGCATTCAGGAGTGCGCCAGACAGCTTTGTTGCTCTTGTACTCGGAGCTCAGCAGCAGGATTTCAGCAGGAATTCTGGACTGCTGTCCTGTGCTCACAAAGAGACGAGTCAGGAAAACTCTGGCCAGGCAAGTTGGATGCCTCTTATCAGAACACACAACAGTATTTGCTGTTTTTTTCTGCTTTTTCTATATGTCAAGAACCATCAGAAAACTTTGGGAAGAAATAGTTATTTTACTACAATAAATACCTTTTGATAATAAAAAAACAATGAAGAGCTGAGCCCTAATTTGAGGCATGCATACCTAGAAGCTGTCACACCATATTTTTTCTTGGTATTTTCCCCAAATATATAAGGTAAAAGAATATGTATACACACATTTAGACTTAAAATTATAGTATTAGAAATAAAATATGCATGGTTTGCCATGCAATGTGTCATGGAGTCATTTTCTGTCACAAAAGAGATATAATTAAAGTTTTCTTACAGAACAACGGAGAACACCAGATGTATTTACATACCAGGAAAACAGAATGTGGCATCAAGTCAAACAAGCACCATCTCTGTCTCCAAAGGTCTATTTTGACTGCACCAGAAAAGACCAGGGCAAGCCTTTGCATGTAGGTATTTTTTTCCCCTTGTCCCTTTCCAAGGACTGTAAGCTAAATGAGTACAGCAGTAGGGGCTGATTTTTCTAACAGGTTAGAAATTAAGACCTCCAATGGCCAGATACGTGGACACACACCCAGGGAGGAGAGGACCAAAGGTGCAGAGGTAGGAGAAAGTCACAAGTCTCTCTCCGGTCTTACAGTCCTTCAGTACACACGAGCAGAAACACAGCTGTGTTTGAACTTGAAACATTTTGTAGACCCGAGCATAATTTTAGACTTCAATTCCTTGTGAGTTTCTACTTACTTGATGCTCAGAACAAGATCTGAGTATCTCAGCATAAAGGTGACATTCTCGGGGCTAAAGCACAGTTTACCAATAAACTCGGAGAGGATAACTGCTGTTTTTAATACACTGTACACTTCTGTATATATTTCTGTAAAAATTGGCCGCTGTAGTCCATCTTTCCTTATTGTTCCCCTCAGCAAGATGAAGTGATTCATAAGTAATAAATGGAAGAATTCCACAATGAAAGTTTAGCTTTGAATAGGAAATTGGGATTTACAAAAAACCACCCAATAAAACACTCATGACCAAAAGCTTCTATCGAAACAATCAAGTCGGCTGCTACCTACATCAAGTACCTTTAAACTGTGGCATGCACAAAAGGCTCTTGATCATTTTATTTGAAGAAATAATGTTACCTGCAAAGTCAGGAAAGGGAATGCCCAAATTCTTAAAATGTAGTACATTGACACAGCATATTAAAAAGCTCCAGAATATGCATAAAGAGGTGGCCTTTTAAAATTTGTTGAGACGACCATAAGTAGTCTTTGAGAAAATACTTTGTTTCAAGAATAAGTAAGTAGGTTAATAATGGAATCTGTTAAAGGTAAACTATGAATAATGTTCCTGTGTCTCATAAAGGCAATTTGGTAAAAGAATAGACTACGTATGCCCACAAGGTCCTATTACCTCGTGAGGTTGTAGCTATCACAGTTTGCATAAGTACATTCTGTGATGTTCTCACAGTGATGAACTAACCTAATGACACATTTCTCAGAATGTAGCCCTTCCACATAGTTTAGTGGGGTGCAGAGATGAATCAGGGAACTGACAGAGAAATCTATCAGAGGAAAGAAAACAATGTCACTTATGCATAAGTAAGATCTGAGAAGAGATAGGGATGCAAATACCACAAAAGCAGAATTCGGGAATGGAAAGGAGAAATGACCAGTTACTCAAGCAGCAGGATATATACTTTGTACTTGGAAGACCTGGGCCTTCCAAGACTCAAGGAAGCTGGATATATGAAAAAAAAAATATCACAGAACAACACCTACGTCAACCAAAAACCACATTGCTGTCTGTAGAAAGAGAAACAGAATGGACTGCAATGAATAGTCTAGATAGAGAAGAAAAGGAAAGATATTCAGTAAAATGGGGTGCCATAGATTCTTGGATTGCAGGGCTATATACAGAAAAGACAAGACTCATTCATTCGCTGAATGATTTAACAGTCATCGTTCTGTCTACCTAACTGACACCTAGGAAGGAAGTTACTGCATTTGACTAGATTATAC